TGCGCTCTCTTGGAGGCCACTTGAAGCGCCACTGGAGCGCTCTTGGGAGCCTGCTGAGACCTGGTCTGGACCTGGCCGGGACCTTGCTGGGGTATTTTTCGTCCAGAGACCCCTGGGGGCGGCCCCGTGCGCGCGAATTAGAAATATTATTAACCAGTTGCTGGAAATCTTAGCACGCCCTTGGCCCGTTGGGCCGGCGAGTTTATAAGGAAAAGGAGGAGAAGGAGGAGGACCAGTGTAAACCCAAGACTCATCAACGATATTGGGATACATCCCTCCAAGCTTCCTCTTCATAGGCCCCGTACAAGGATTCACTACCACTGCGGGAAATGCCCCGTTGGGAGGCAACTGTGTCAAAATCCTGAAGCGTGCCAAGTCACCACTCTCAGGATTTCAGTGCCACGGGTCAAACTGACTGGTGCTTTAAAGCGATCCTGAATCGTGCCAGAAAGCCAATTCTGGGACTCCAACACAGCGAGTCAACATATCTGTTGTGCCCGCACAATCCGGAGTCGTTTGAACACACAGTTTGGAAGGTTCTCCATGATAGTCTGCGGAGCCTTCCTGCAATTTTTCAGGCGAATGTGCGCGACGCTAAGGCGAGAACCGTCCTCAATCCGTGACCCCCCTGCAACATTTTAAGACGAGTGTGCGGGGCGCTAAGGCGGGAACCATTTTTTGGAAGCGACACGCCCCCAATCCGTGAAATTCCTGTAACAGTTTACGAGAATTACATTTTGAAAAGACCCGCCCCCAATCCGCGAACTTCAAGTTTTTGGTAACGAATGTGCGCGGCGCTACGGGGAAAACCGCAGTTTGAAAACGACCCTCCCCCAATCCGTGAAACTCTTGCACATTTTTAAGACGAGTGTGCGAGGCGCTGCGGCGAGAGTCACATTTTGAAGACGGCCCGCCCCCAATCTGCGAAACTCTTGTAACTTTCTAAGACGAGGGTGGGTGTCGCTGAGGCGGGAGCCACATTTTGGAAGCGACCCGCCCTCCATCTGTGAAGCTGTTGCCACTTTTTCAGTTGAGTGGTAAGGAAGTTGCAAGCGAAACGCCCAGCCCGCCCTGCCGACCTGCTTCGGGGTGCGACGGGGAGGAGTTGTTCATGAGGGACAAGATGGAGGAGGGGGAGGAGGCGGATGATGAGAAGGAGGAGGAGGAGGAGGAGGAGGAGGAAGGAGGAGGAGGAGGAGGAGGAGGAGGAGGAGGGGGAAGAAGGAAAAACAGGAGCGGGCAGGAGCAGGAGCAAGAGCAGGAACTGGAGGTGGATGATGACCGAAGTAAGCCCAGGGTGTATGGGCGATGAAGACATTCACCGTCCCTCTCAGCGGGCTGCTGGGCCCTCGAAATTTCCCAGGAGCGGCTCACTCTGAGTGGGCTCGGGCACACGTTGGGACGCCCCATGCGGGGTCGAGAGTGTCTCTCGAGCTTTTGTTGGACGCATTATTTGCCGAATTTGGCAACTTCATAGACAACGCTGACGGGATCTTGTGTCTCTGGGGCTCTTGGATGGGCTTGTCGGATCGATCGTGGGGTCCGTTGGGGCTTCGACATGGCGTGGTCATCTTATCTAGCATCACCATCTTCGGGCTTATCCGGACTGCTGGGGGCTTCTTGGGGCACTCCTGGCCCACGGGGGTGGTTCCACATCATCATTTCCGAACCTGGCTTGCCTGGCGGGTTCTCACTGTTCGCATCGAGTGCTTAAGCATGAGTTGACCGAGTCAGCTGTCGGCACGGTGAATAACAAAGTGGCGAACGATGTCAAGCTGGGCGGTCAAGCGCCAGGGTGTCCAATGTTCTTCAGTTTATCTGCTTGCCGCGCCCCCGTGCACAAGACCCGGGCCCCCCCGAGCAGCTGAAGAGACGCCACCCCCCAGCCTGGCGGCGCCTCGCAGTGCAGCCGGCGGATTCGCGACCGCTACGGCGACTTCTTGCTGGTGGAAGCAGGCGATGTCATCGGATGCGGAGGGGAAAGTCAGTCATCGACACAACGATACGTTCGGTTTGTTTGTTGATGGTGGTTTTGGGGGAGGGGTGAGCTGTCATGGCTGTACGCATCTGTTGACTATTGCGTGTAAGTCTAACCGACGTGCCTTTTCTGTGGAGTCCTGCTGCCCCTTCAGGATGGATGGGCGTGAAGAACGTGCACGCCGATTCAGCATCGTGACGCGCGTCGAGACTGCAGAGACTTCCTTTTCCGGTGCAGGATGAGGACCTGACGGCAGGATGAGCGCTCGCCCAGTGGTTGTGCTCTGCGACCATGCCACCGTGGATCGAATGCCACCGTGGATGTGCCATCGTGGATCGAATGCCATCGTTCGTGTCACCCACTTCTAACTTTTGTCCTGCGTAGATGCGGAATTGGCATTCTCCAGCCGCCCGGATCCTGTGTAGCGTAGATGCTGGATTGCTCAACCCAGGCGCGGCAGCTCAACAGCCGCTGGTGTTGCTTGCGCGAACATAGTCGCACTGGCGGGGGCAGGCAAACACGTACTCCTTGGGTGTCCCCTTGCTTGGCACCTCCCTCCTCCTTCTCCTCCTCCTGAATTCCTTTCGGGGTCATTCGTGAACATTGGAAGCCTACAGGGAAGATTAGCATGGCCCCCGCGCAAGGCTGACACGCACCAGTCGAGACGTGTATACAAATTTCGTCTACGCTCGTCTTCTCTTCTCTTCTCTTCTCTTCTCTTCTCTTCTCTTCTCTTCTCTTCTCTTCTCGTCTCGTCTCTTCTCTTCTCTTCTCTTCTCGTCTCGTCTCGTCTCTTCTCTTCTCTTCTCTTCTCTTCTCTTCTCTTCTCTTCTCTTCTCTTCTCTTTTCTTCCTCCTCCTCCTGACCTCGCGGGGGGGCGCGCGCCCACACGCTCTCTTACTCACTTACGTCGGCTCGCACGAGATGGGTGATGGGAAGGACCAGCGGGGGAAAGAACCGCCAGGGCGGAGCAGGGTGGAGGAACAGCACCAACAGGAGGCATAAAGCAGCAGGCAGGAGGAGGGAGGAAGGAAGAGGAGGAAAACGAGGAGGAGAAGGAAGAGGAGGAGAAGGAAGAGGAAGAGGAGGAGAAGGAGGGAGGGAGGAAGAGGAAGAGCAGGAGAACGAGGAGGGAGAATAGGGACGAGAAGAGGGAGGACTGGGTGTCCGATGCTCCTCTGGATGCCCTATCCTGCCCTTTTAGATCGGGCGAAGAGAACTATGCACATGCACCGCTCCTGGCAAGGCCCATCCTTGACCCAGGATCGGTGCATATGCCTTCCTGGCCAAGGTAGGAGGGCGTATGCACCGATCCTGGGCTCAGGATGGGCCTGGCCAGAGTCGGTGTATGTGCATAGTTCTTTTTCCTCTATTTAGAGCATTATTGGGAGGCTCCATTCGAAGTCCGTCAAGGACTTTTCAGGCTCCTCGCAGCCCTCTGGATCGCGACCGAAGCCGTCTTCAGGAGAAAGATGTGAGATGCCAAGAAGCACTGGAACAAACTCACACACAGGAGCAGGACGGAAAAGGGCGGTGGGGGGGTGTTAGGGGGGGGGCCTGGTAGGCGGAGAGGGACACTCTCCCCTGTCAGTTTCATTTGGCTGGATTGGACCGTGGCCATGGGCTGTGAATGCATCCTGCATCTCTTTCCTCTCGCAATGTGTTTGGGCTGGGTGGCACCGCAGCCCTGGGCTGTGACAGTCACCGGCATCTTTCTCCTCTCGAGGATTGTTTGGGCGCGTTGGGACCGCGACCATGGAGTTGCGACGGCATCACCTTCAATAGTCCCACAGTTACTCTGCTTGGGGAAATGGTTTCCACTCTCCCTTTGCAGTTTATTGTGGCCGGATGGGACCGCAGCTATAGGCTGTGAAGAAGGCACCCTGCGCCTTTGTCCGCTAGTATCATGCTCCTCCTCCTCCTCCTCTTCCTCCTTCTCCTCCTCCTCCTCCTCATCCTCCTCCCCCTCCTCCTCCTCCTCCGAAGGTATAGCGAAGACATGCGCCGATCCCTTCTCCAGGGTGGGTCCTCGGTGGTGCCGCCTGGGAGGCCCCCAGTGGAAGGCGGGAAGGGGGAAGAGGGAGTCGCCTCAGCATGGCGAAGGTCGAGCGAACATCGAAGCCGATCCCTTCTCCATGGGGAGGCTTCGGTGGAGCCGCCTGGGAGGCACTCAACGGAAGGCCGGAGGGCGCGAACAGGGGTAGCCTCAGCAGGGCCACGATGGATCGAGCATCTGCGCCGATCCCTCCTCCCCGGGGGGGGGGAGGGGCTCGGTGGAGCCGCCTGGGAGGCCCTCAGTGGAAGGCTGGGAAGGGGAAGGGGGCTAGCATCAGCAGGGCGGAGGTAAAGCGACTACCCAAGGGTGCGCCGTCCAAGGGTGCTACACGGAGCCGCTCGTGTCCACATTGTCAGCACCCCTTCAGACAGTGCCCGTTTTGGGATGTGTACGCGTATGGTTTCTTCACGGCCCGCGGATCGTCACGATGTATCAGTCATGGCATCTGGGCCACCCACGGGGGTGTTGAGCGAGGGTGCTCCGCGGGCCCGGTCGCGTCCAGGTAGAGCATATTTTCACGTTATGGGATGTATTCGTAAAAAAAACAAAAAATAAGCAAAAAAATTGGAAAAAAGTGTCTGATTTCGCAGCCCCATGGTCATCGCGATGCGGGACGGATGGTGTTTGGGCCCGTTCGCGCCGAGGTTGTCGGGACCGCTCGGGCAGCGCGTTTGGCCTGGCAAGCAGACGCGTCTCCCTTCGCAGCCCCGTGATCTCGCGATGCAGCTGGCACGGCACACGGGCCCTCCAAGACGTCGGCCAAGGGTGTTCCGTGGGCCCTCTCGCGCTCCTCCTTCTCTCTCCCTCCTCCTCCTCCTCCTCCTCCTCCTCCTCCTCCTCCTCGTTCTTCATTCTTCATTCAACATTCCTTCTTCCTTCTTTAATTGCTGTCCGCAGCTCCTGGTTCAAAGTATTTTGTTCATAATACGTAGCCTGCCCCGAGCTCCCACAAGCGTGACCTGCCAGCACCATACCTTCATTACATAGGTTCAGCCTCCTTAATGGGCCAGAGTGGATGGGATCGGGGGATCGCGCTGCATCGCCGATGCATCGGCAATGCGGCGCGATGCGGAGCCCGATCTTCTTTACACCGATGTTGCCGATGCGTCACCGACGTCGTTGATGCCTCGGCGATGCGGCGTGATCCTTTGACCCCATCTACAGTCAACCCGCATAGCAAGGATGGGCGACTCTCCAAGGTCCTTGCATCCTTGCCCTTCGGCCCATCGTTGGCCGCTCTCGCTGGCCGCGCCCCGCTCGCAACGTGTCGACGTGGCCTTCCGAGGCCCTCGCATCCTCATCGTGCGTCCTTGTCGTACAGGTTGGCTGGACTCGGATCCCCTTTGGGAGGCCTCTCATAGGACATATGGCATGATGGGGCAGCGCAGGGTGACCCTCCTGCTGGTCTGCACTGCCGCCGTGCTCACGGACGGCCTGGCCGTGGACGGCACGGCCGCCTCCCCAGAGGAGCGGCTGCAGCTCGAGGCCGCCGCCGCCGCCGACGCCTCGACGGCCGCCCACGGGCTGGACCACGGTGTCGGCCAGGTGAGCGACGCCAAGAAACAGGCTCGACTGCGCGGACGACGACGACGACGACGACGACGGCGGCGGCGGCGGCGGCGACGGCGGCGGCGGCGGCGACGACCACGACGGCGGCGTGGCCGTGGCCGCGAAGCCGCCGCCTGCCGCGCGAGCCCAGGCGCTGGTGGCGCCCCAGCGCGTAAGCTGCCTGCGTAAAGCTTGGAATCGCTCGGACGTGCATTTTTTCTCGGTGAGGGCCATCGAGGAGCATCCTGGCTCGTCTCGTACAAAGACGCACGAAACCAAAGACGGCACGGGGACTGGGCGTCCGAGCGACGGCAAGTAGAGTTGCATGTGAGCGCCCTCGTTTCCAATGTAGGGTTCCGCGCTGGCGGCCTGCGTAAGCCACCTCGTAGGGTCGCCACATTCTCGCGCGGACCACGATGCCGATGGGGTGGACCACGGCGCGGGCCGCGACGTGGCCACAGACAGATGCACTTCCGCCCTTCAGTGCGGACTGCTCCTGGGCCGAAGGGGAGGGTGGCGGTGTACATAGCATTCCTTAGTGCCAGCCAACATGCATGCCGCCACCTTCTCGCAAGGTATAGGAAAAGCGCCCACTGGCGGGTGTATGTGTACATATGTCTGCGGCGCAGGTGGGCGCGTTGAAGCCAGAGCTGCCCATCATCACCTCGGCGCCAGGAGACACCCAGCGCGTCGGCAGGCCGCTGCCTGCGAGCGCCCAGGTGCCAGTGCGGAGGGCCGCCGGCATGGTCCAGATCTTCGTCCTGTGCGTGTGCATGTACGGCGGCATCTCCCTGATGTGGGCTCTCTTCTGGCGCCTACCCGAGGAGCATGCCTTCAAAGCCCACGGGAGGGTGTTCCTCCTGTGCATGACCTGGGCGTCCATGTCGGTCGGCATGCAGGTGCTGAACAAGACGCTCGTCAGCAAGCTGCAGGCTCCGGCGCTCATATCGGTTGGGCAGATGTGGATCGCAGTGGTGCTGGTGGGCATCCCGTCTTATAAGGTCACCAGACTCGTCCTGACCCCTTAGCGCCAACTCCCCGCCCCTCTGGAGGCTCTTCTCGAGAAGGGTCGGCAGAGTGTGAAAAGATAACCAGGATCCTTCTCGAGAAGATTTTTTGCAGGGGTTGATCGTTGAGGGGGGTCAAGACGAGTCCGTCGACAAGGAGGTTCTGGACGCCCCCAAGGGACAGTTGCTGATCTGGCTCATCGTGCCCATGTTCTTCGCAGCGATGCTTTGCACGTCATGCTACACGTACCAGTACATGTCCCTGTCCTTCTACACAGTCATCCGCAACATGACGCCGCTGATCGTTCTGCCAGTGGAGCGCACATTGATGCCTGCGGACAAGCGTCCGAGGCTGTCTTACATGGTGCTCATCTCGATGTCGCTCATGTTATGCGGAACTCTGATGTACGGCGAAGGGATCGGGCACGTCTCCGTCATCGGCTGCGTCTTCGCTTTCACCAACATGCTACTCGCGGTCTCGGACAGACTCATCCAGCGGCGCCTCCTGACGACCGAGTGCACTGGGCTGGCCTCCTCGGTCTGCACAGTCACGAATAACGCGCTCGGCTCCGTACCCGCGCTGCTGCTCGCGGGCGCCACGCACCAGATCTCCGACATGGCCTCGCCAGAGAAGCGCGCCTCCTGGACGGACCTCCGTGTCCTCACGCTGCTGGCCCTGTCCGGCGCCATAGGCATCGGGATCTGCTACCTGGGCTTCGAGTGTCAGCGCGCGATCACGGCGACTTACGTTGCATCTTCTGGGGATCTCGTCTGTCCCCCAAATTGTTGTCTTTTCTCGTGCCCGACGCGGGCTCGGTGCGGACTCGACGTGGATTCGACGCAGAGTCGACGCGGATTCGACGAGTCCGACACGGATTCGGCACCGGCTCGACGCGGATATGGGGCGGGACGGGACGGACAAGATCTTCCGAATATGCAACATCAGGCGACCTCGTTCTTCGTGCTGCAGAACTTCTCCAAGGCCCTGGGGGCTGGGACCCGTCCACGATGAGGAGGATGAGGATGAGGATGAGGATGAGGATCATGATGATGATGATGATGATGATGATGATGATGATGATGATGATGATGATGATGATGGTGGTGGTGGTGGTGGTGGTGGTGATGATGATGATGATGAGGATGAGGATGAGGATGGGGAGGGCAGGTGGAGGAGGAGGATGAGGAGGATGAGGGGGAGGAGTCTGGCGCCCAGGATCGGTCTCCCGAAGGCCGTCCGTGTATTGCACACGCCCAGCCAACGAACTACCGTCCGGAGAGCAGCAACAGCTGCGCAGGAAGGGCACAGGGGGTGACCACGTCGCCTGTGAAGACTCGCGGCCCAGCGGTTCCGACATGGTGCGTTGGGAGCCAAAGGCATCCCAGTCGTAACAGCTGGCACGGCATACCGAGGAGCACAAGCTCCCCAGCCCTGGGTGGGCACAAGGCCCCCTTGGGACTTACGTGGCGCAAGCCACCGCCTCCCGAGGAAATGCCGATTCCTAAGGGTCAGATCACAATGAAATGACCGCACAGGCGCCGCTACCCGCCTTCACCCGAAGGGACAGGCTGAGACTGGGGCCGTGCTACACCCAACGACGGGAGACCCGTCGATAAAGGTTTTGCAACGTCCACCCCAAGCCCCAGAGCCCGCAGTTCCAGAAAAATCGGCCTGTTGCACCCCGCCCAACCTGCAAATTAAGTGCCTTGTGCAGTGTGCCCCGAGGGTGCTCGGCACTGACACCATGAAAACAGGTGCCAGGCCTCACCCTGGGGGCGGGATGAGGAGGAGGAGGAGGAGGAGGAGGAGGAGGAGGAGGAGGAGGAGGAGGAGGAGGAGGAGGAGGTCCAGCGCTCGAGGTACTGGCCCGCCCAGACCTCGGGGAGGCGGCGGGCAGGGGCATCTCTAGGCCCAACCTGGGGCCCCACAGGCGTCCGTGGGCGCCGCCCCCATGGGCCCCAGGCTTGGCTGCCCTGACGCGCCCGCGCTGCAACGCAGCACGCACCGTGCTCAGAGCGTCCGTGTCGACACGCCGCGTGCTGTCTCGGCGCGTGCTGGCCGGCGCCTTGGCGAACGCGTCGCGCCGGCCTGCGCTTTCAGTCTGCATGCTGAGCTACGTGCCAACACGCTGCGGGTTGCGTGCTGCGTATCGGGGCAGCGACGGTCCTAGAAGGGGGGAAGTGCGAAGGGGCGGGCCTTCTCTCAGCAGGCTCGGAAGTCCACCGGCCTTCCGAGAAGTTTTCTAAGCCTTCCCCGAAGACACAGAAAACTTCTCAGAAGGCCAGAGGGCTTTGAGAAGCCCCGCCGCCTTCGAGAAGGTCTTCTCCTTCTCGGACGTTTGCTGGTTTTTGGGTCATAACTCGGCTCTCTGGTGGTCGTTCGGGGCGATCCAGGCAACCCCGGAACGCCTTCGGCGAGGCGCAGCCGCTGGAGCGCACCCCGAGGCTGGAAAACCGCCGAGAACCGACGAAAACGTCCGAAGACCTCGAATCTCGAGCCCGAAACTTCCCCCTTCTCGCTTCCCCCCTCGCTCGCCGCCAAGCTACGGGTTGCGTGCTGCGTGGCGGGACGGCTGCGGTCCCAAGACATCGGCTCCCCGGGCGTCGGGTGTCTGGGCCGCCCGCAGGGGGCGCGAGGTGGATGATGATGATGATGATGATGATGATGATGATGATGATGATGATGATGATGATGCTGATGATGATGATGATGCTGATGATGATGATGATGATGATGATGATGAGGAGGAGGAGGAGGAGGAGGCGGAGGAGGAGGAGGAGGCGGAGCAGGAGGAGGATATGGGGAGGATGAGGAATATGATGATGCTGCTGCTGATGCTGCTGCTGCTGATGATGATGATGATGATGATGCTGATGATGCTGATGATGATGATGATGATGATGATGATGATGATGGTGGTGGTGGTGGTGATGATGATGTTGCTGATGGTGATGAGGATGATGCGGAGGAGGAGGAGGGTGGGAGGGAGAGGAGGAATGAGGAGGAGGGGGATGCTGCTGCTGCTGCTGCTGATGATGATGAGATGGGGAATGTGATGATGATGATGATGATGAGATGATGATGATGATATGATGATGATGAGATGATGATGATTCTGATGATGATGATGATGATGATGAGGAGGAGGAGGAGGAGGAGGAGGAGGTGAGGAGGAGGAGGGGATGAGGGGGAGGCAGGAGGAGGAGGAGGGAGCGAGGAAGAGGAGAGGATGAGGAACATGAGCAGCGAGGAGGAGCAGGAGGAGGGGGAGGAGGAGAGGAGGAGGAGGAGGAGGAAGGAGGAGGCGGAGGAGGAGGAGGAGGAGGAGAGGAGGATGAGGAGGAGCAGCGCAGAGGTAGGAGGAGAGGAGGAGGAGGAGAGGAGGAGGAGAGGAGGAGGACGAGGAGGAGGAGGGGGAGGGGGAGGAGGAGAAGGAGGAGGAGGAGGAGGAGGAGGATGATGAAGAGGAGGAGGAGGAGGAGGAAGAAGAGGAGGCGGAGGCGGAGGCGGAGGCGGCGGAGGAGGATGAGGATGAGGAGGAGGTGTAATAATCATAGTAAGAGGAAGATGAATAAGACGAAACAGAAGAATACTACTATAAATAAGAGTCATAATCAGAAGAAGAATAAGTGATCAGAACCCTCTCATCGGGCTCGTCTGCGCCTCGCCCTGACCCCATGCATCTACGGCTATTTCGGATCTAGGCTGCAGCCAGTGTTCTGCGCGCCGACAGACGGCGCAGTTCTTCCCGCCAGGAGGTGGCGGACCTCAGACATCAACGTACCTCTCCCCCAGTCCTCTGGAAAAGGTTCCACGCGAAGAGCACGGATAAGCAGAGCATCAGGCAGGCAGAGAGGGAGGTGCACGACGAGTGCATACGTTGACTTTGGTAGCGGAGCTTCGGCTCCAGTCCACGAACACCCACAACACGAAGATCTTCATTGACGGCATCAACATTAACATCCACTATATAAAGATCTTCGTCGACTATCTTACCAATGGCATCAACACGAACATCCACCTTACGAAGATCTTCAATAACGGCATCCTCACGAACATCTTCTATATAGAGATCACCATCGACTGCGACGATGGCGAACCAGGCACCTGGAGCCGTGGAGGCTCAGGGCACTCATCGCATTCCCCCGGCGTGGCAGCCGGGTACATATTATACCTGTAGGGATTGGGAGCGCGAGATCACGAACTGGATAAGGCTCACCGACCTGCAGGCCGACTAGATCGGCGGAGCTATCTACCAGCGTGTCTTTGGCCTCGCCAAGACCTTGCTGCGTGAGATCCCCGACAATGTGATTAGTTACGGAGCTGATGGGCGCCCAGGTGTGGAGATCCTCATGTCAGCCCTTCGAGCACGCTGGGGCGGCGAGAGTCAGGACAAGCAGTTGCAGCTCCTAGCCGCCTGTGATGAGTTTGATGTTGGCCCTCGCGAGGATTATGAAGATGCCATCGCATGTTTCGATATCATCCGTATTCGAGCTCGCGATGAAGCTGGCCACCAAGTTGCTCCTGCAGCCCTGGCTCGGAAGCTCCTCCTAGCCTTCAACGTCCCGGAGGATACGTGGTCCAATCTTCTCGTGGAGACCCGAAACCTGCTTCCGAGCACTGAGCTGGAATATGAATCATTCTTGAGGCATCTGAAGCGCAACCTATCCCTTCACTTCAGGAGGAACAACGCCATGCGACCTCAGGTTCCCCGAGGTCTGATGGGCAGCGGTGGAGGCGGTGCGCATGGTCACTTCTCAGCTTTCCCGACCTTCGAGCAGCAACGTGGCAGCTCGTCAGGCTCATTCTGGGACCGCGTGCCTTCCCGAGCACCGGCAATGTACCAGAGCTACAACACGGGCTCCAACCAGTGCCCGCACTGTGGCGAATTTTTGACATGCAGCATGTGCACTGAGTACTACTACGATGGCGAGCTAGACCTCATGGAGAGCGACGACGACTCGGACGACGACCTGGACTTCGAGGGCGAAGACCAGGCGCAGGCGGCGTACCTGCAGTACGAGAGCAGCTGCGCCGAGTGGGACAACCTCATCATGCCCCAGGAGATCGAGGACAAGTACCAGGTCTTCTTCGAGCACGCGCGGCGCTGGAACAAGTGCCGTAAGTTTGGCCGACGACGTCGTGACTTTCACAAACGAGGAGACCGCCACGGAGAACGACGTGACTCTCGGCCGAGACACTTCCAGCACAAGCGCTCTCGATTCAAGTTCTCCCCGAAGCGACGGTTTGACTACCAGATGGGCAAGAAGAGCCCGCTGGGAAAAGGATGGCAAACCGCTTCGATGTTCTATTTGTGACAGCGACGATCATTTACGAGCTCTCTGTCCTCAGAAGACGAAGCGTTTCGGAAGCGGAGGTAAGCCAAGGATGAATGCTGGACCCAACAATACATTCTCGAACCCTTTCCTTGTCTCGCATCCTCCTCCGCGGTCAGCGCCAACATCTACAGGGTCCTCCCTGGGCGGCTATCTGATGTGGTCCCCTTCAGATGCATGAGGAGAGCAACCACCACCTCAGCAGCCGCAGCCTGAACATGAAGGTCATCGGCCAGCATCTCCGAGATCATGGAAGTACCGCTGCGGAGAGGCACACAGCGACGTTTTAGTACCCAGCAGCGGCAGCAAGATGTGGCACATGCAGGACTTCATTCCGACCGACGCTGGCCCCGAGTCAGGCATGAGGGTTGACCGGCAGGGAGATTCTTCCCCTTCTAGGATAACATCGCTCGACAGCTGTGCCGCGCCATTCAAGCCCACGGCGTGGACAGCCAGCAAGAAGGAGGAGGAGGCTCCCAGGAAACCCAAACACTACAACATTGCCAAGGACCACATCTGCCACAACTGCAAGACGGAGTACCACCATGAGCTCTACGAATGCGAGTACTGCAAGAAGGAGTTTTGCCATCAATGCACCGCCTACGACGATTGCTTGCACTATTGGGAATGTGGGGAAGAGCGTGCCGGCCGCGGCCAGGGCAGCTCACAGGTGCGCACTCAGCGCCTCTACCCGTGGTGCAGCGACCTCAGTGACACACGTATCGCGGGCTCCTGGATGGGCTACCAGGCTCACTCGGCGTCGCAGCTACCAGGTACTCGCGAGGGACTCCTGGTCGACAGCGGCGCAATCGACAACCTCACCGGCAAGCAGTTCGTGGATCGCCAGAGTGTCATCGCCAAGACGGCGGGCTACGAGACGCACTTCGAGCCTATGGCGCACCCCGTCGTGGTCAACGGCGTGGGAAAGGGTAGCCAGCAGGCTGCGCACCAGGCAGTTGTACCGATCCAACTCAATGATAAACCCGCTGAGTTTCGAGCCCCTTGTCTGATGGGCGACGGCGCTGGCGTTCCGGCCCTGTGGGGCCTGCGATCGCAGAGGCAGTCGCGCGCCATCGTCGACATTGGCGGCAACGCGGTCATCATCCCTGGCCCGGAGGTTTCTCGATGACTCTCAGCCCCGGCAGTGCGGTGATGCGGTGCGAGAACGCGATCTCGGGGCACATGATGATTCCCGTGTCGGACTTCGAGGAGCAGGACAAGGAGGTGATCGGGTCCTCTACGAAGTGGGTCCTCTACGGAGCGTGCTGTCAGCTGGACAGCAGCGGCGCTGCGGTGCCTTCCGAAGCCCCGACGCCACCGCGAGGGCCCGGCGGGCCGAGCAATGAGCGGGGGCAAGGCTCGGCTGTGCCATCAGCAATCCCCCGCAGTACCACTACAAGCACTATCGCTACACGGTCAATTCTGAAAACGACAGCCGCCACTGCCGGCTCTTCGAGACCGTCTTCGGCAGCTATCTCCTCTACTGCGCCGTCGAGCACATCAGTCGACGGGGGAATTTCGTCGGGCACGGCCCGACCAGCAGGCTTCCGACTCCGACCGTCGAGCACATCAGTCGACGGGAGAATTTCGTCAGGCGCGACCCGACCAGCAGGCTTCTGTCTCCGACCGTCGACCACATCGACTGTTCCTACGAGTGCTTCACCGCGAGGCCTCCTGGACTGGCAGCAGTCTGCCCGCGACTGGCTCGACGAGTGCAGACAACTTTCAACGACGCCTGATCCACCAGCAGGAGACGGAGATCACAGCCTCTATCATTTCAGGGAAATCTTCAGTGGCTCCTGCAAGTCCACCGAGAAGAACAAGGCCGCCGGCATGCATACTAGATCTCCAGACGACCTGACGACGAAGTGGAATCTCTTGTGGCGGACTCACCAGCTTGAGCTACTCCGACAAGTTCGAGAGGAACCAGCTCAGGTCATGTGGCTAGACCCTCCAGGCGCGGCCACAGGCACTGGCAGCGCCAAGGACCACAAGCTGGCTAGGTACGTCACCGAGCTCGTCCGCACGCAGCTGGTCAAAGGCCTCCACGTCGTCGTCGACACGACCGCCGGCAGCCACTTCTGGAAGCAAGCAGAGCTTCAACCACTACTTACGCACGAGCGCCTCAAGCATTGGAAGTATTCCTGGTGTGGTTTGGGCGCTGTCGACCCTGTGACGGGCCGACCCTGGCATCGAGTTCGACGAGTCCAATCTACCATCGACCTACCTATACGACCACCCTTCGGGTGAGAAGGAGGTTCGGGGGTGGGGAGGAACCAACGTCTCACTCGATCGGCTCACTATCGATCTCAGTATCGGTCTCGCTCGATCGATCTCCCTCGATCGGTCTCACAACCGATCTCACCATCAATCTCACTCGATCTCACTCGATCTATCTCACACTCGATCTCACTCGATCATCATCATCATCATCGTCCTCATCATCATCAGCAGCATCATCATCACCATCATCATTATCAACATCAGCATCAGCATCATCAGCAGCGTCATCATCAGCATCACCATCATCATCATCATCATCAGCATCATCATCTCAATCATCAACATCATCATCATCATCATCAACATCGCGGGGCACCGCGGGGCACCGGCGGGGCACCGCGGGGCACCGCGGGACACCGCGGGGCGCCGCGGGACACCGGAGGGGCACCGCGGGCCACCAGCCGCCCGGAAGGGAGACACGTGGTCCGGCCGCGCCTCAGCCACATGGGACACCAGCGGGACACCGGCGGGACACCGCGGGCCACCAGCCGCCCGGAAGGGAGACATTTGGTCCGGCCGCGCCTCAGCCACAGGAGACTTTCTTCTCGCCCGCCCACGCAGCTTCGCCTCGCCCGCACGCACGGCGCGCACGAACACGAAACCGAAATCGATTTCCCGGTAGGGGGGCTCTCCGTTCCACTTCGATCTCACCCCCTCACCTCTGACCTCGCCTCTGTCTTGGCTGGCCTGCTGGCAGCTATCGGGCACAATGTTGCCAATTAGCTCATCTGCACCAAGACGCGAGGAAGCGTTTTCAGTCCTCCAACGCCCTGGGCCGCAACAAGGCATCCAGGGAGTACCCCGAGGAAGTGATCATGGCAGCTCACCTCGACCTGCTGAAGTTTCTGCAACTGAGGAGTGAAGAGAGCGAGAAGTACAACAAGAGTGCATCAGAAACCTCTACATCGGCTTCTACTACGGCAATCACCCCGGTCAGGCCCCTCATCTTCGACGGAGGTGGTCACCAAGACCAAGAAGCGGGCCAAACCGACGCTCGTACTACCAGACGAGTGCTCGGGGGACTGCGGCGACGATTTCACCCCACTCCTGATTAAAGACAAGCACGGCGAGTTCTCTCAGGAGTGGCACGCCGAGCGCGTCGCGGCCGTCGCCAGCTTCACCGTCATGTGCGCCACTCAGGCTGACCAGATCTACTACATTGACGACGAGATCGACGAGCCGGCGGACACCAAGTGCTATTATGAGGACAGCCTCCACGACCTCGAGCACTACCTCGCCGAGACGACCATCGACATTATGGAAATCTACCATCGACCATGAGGCGGGCACTAGCAGGTCCAGTGTACGCTTGGGCCTGAGGGGCGGCCGGAACTTTGACATCGTCACCGGCTGCGACTTGACGCTGAAAGAAGATGTGGGACAGGTGTGGTACTACATCATTAAGTGTCGCCCACGCGTCATCGTCATGGCCCCGCCGTGCACCGCCTTCAGCCTGTGGTCGCGCGTGCATCGACATCGACCCCGTAGCCAGGACATCTGGCGACGCAACCGTGCCATCGGCGAGAAGCTCGCCAGGCTGGCTGCGCAAGTTGCTGAGCACCAGGCCTCCCAGGGCTCTCTCTTCGTAGTGGAAAACCCATATGTGTGGAAGCTATCATGCTGGGAGGCATTACTTGGGCGAGATGACGTTCACAGCATCAAGATTCAGATGTGTGCAGCTGGGCTTCGCGACCCCTTCGACGAACACAGAGTGCGGCTCATCAGGAAGGATGCGCTCATCGTCGCGAATCTCCCAGAGATCATTCGACCTCTTCGGATACTGCCCTGCCCTGGAGTTTCGTCACAGCATGTTCATCAGATCAATGAGAACGGCCGCTCGCCCTACACCCAGGTCTGGCCGAAGCGATTCTGCCATTTGCTCGCCAGAGGTATCAAGTGCGCCTTGGACATGCAGCCAGTTGAGGCGTGCCCTACGGCCGAGGAGCTGGCGGTCGCAGGTTGTTTGGCATGCAGACGCAGGCAGCGCAAGGATGACCCTACTCACACCAGGGTCGTCGGCGAGTGCCTCTATCCAGACGTCCCAGCAGCGGCCGCTCGCAGTGTTTGGAATCGCCGTTTTACTTGCCCAGCCTGTAAGGTCAAGGCCAACCGCTGGGATCGTCGCCACACCTTCAAGGACGACGAGTGCAGGTGGAGGTCCAAGCAGATCGAAGAACGTGAGAAGGCAGCTCCACGAGCACCTGCTGGCGATGTCACCGAGCCGAAGAGCAGCGAGAGGGCTGAGCCGCCTCCGCGGACTCCCGTCGCTGGCAGGGGTTCACCTGGAGATCCTGCGAAGGAGGATGACGAGCCGGAGATGGATCTGGCCGAAGCTCGAGCAGCCAGTGATGCTCGCATTCGCGAAGCTCTTTCGGGTCCTCCTGCTGTCTCGACGAATCCGAAGGCTGCGGGGTCATCGGGACCTTCGGCATCATCGTTAGCACCAGCGAGACGCAGCACCGCCACCATCGGGACACAGGCCACTGACACCTGGGACGAGCCGGACTGGTCACGATTCGACTTGGGGCGGTCGCTGCAGGTCTTGCGCAATGGCAACGACGCTCATGTCAAGCGCGTCATTCAGCGTCTACACATACGACACTATCACCAGTCGGCGGACCAGCTGATCGAGCTGCTGGAGGCCGCTGGGATCGGACAGCGAATCCTTGACATGGTGGCCCCCGTGGTTCGAGCTTGCAAGGTCTGCCAGATGTGGCAACGACCCACTGCCAAATCCATGTCGGCAGTACGTCTCACCACCAGGTTCAACCAGGTCGTGCAGGTGGATTTTTCTTCATCTTTCAGCTCACCATCTTGCACGTGCTGGATGAGGCCACCAGATGGGCAGCAGTTCGAGCCGTTCCCTCACGAGAGGAAGGTGATGTCCTTCCTGCTTTTGAAGACATGTGGATCGCGATCTTTGGACCTCCACGTGTTCTCATCGTCGACCAAGAAGGAGCTTTCGCGCACGACGCCGGCATGGCTATGTGCGAACGTCACGCCATCCATAGGAAGCTCAGGGCCGTGGACCAACACGCCTAGATGGTCGAGAGACATCATGAACTTCTTCGGGGTGTCTGCCACCGCTTGAAGGAGCAGTGTGATCGCGAGGGCATCATTATCAAGCCCGAGCAGATCGTACGCGAGTCGTGCTATGCCAAGAATGCTCTGATGACTGTCGGCAGGACCACACCGTACAAGGCTGTTCTGGGCGAGACGCCCAATCTGCTCCAGGATTTCGAGACTCCCACGACGACTCAGCAGGAAGACCAACAGCATCTTCATCGAGCACGTGCGCGCGAGCTTGCTCTCTCCAGCATGATCGAGAAGACGGCGACCGAGCGCCTCATCAGATCTGAGCGCTCCCGCACACGTCCTGCTGGTCAGAAGTTTCAATACAAGACGGGCGACCTCGTGGACATCTTCCGGACACCGCCCAACAAGGACCTCGACGGATGGAGAGGCCCTGCGAAGATCGTGGACGCCACAGAGGAGACGCTCAACGACGGCATCGTCCACGTACGCTGGGGAGGCCGCGTGCTCATCTGCAGGCTCCAGGACGTGAGGAGGCATACCTCGTTCTGGTCGAGCTTCTTCCTGCAGTTCCCAGACGAGTGGGCCCCGCTGCGTGCGTTCGTCACCGAACTCGGCCGTCGTATGATCGTCATCGGCTGGGTCTACGCAGCACAGGGCTGGATTATATTTCAGGGAGCTCGACTTCATCCTGGGATATTTGCTCGAGGCCTCATGATTGCCCACATGCATATGGGTCTCGCCAACTGCGTGGGCATTAGAGTAGGATATGGCATACACACCATTCCTGAGATGCACGCAGTTTCTTTCGCGCCCTTCGCCTACTGGTGCACTGGTCAGGACGGCTACAGTTACCTGGAGTGGCAAGGGGCACGCCGTCTTGATACCACGCAGGTGTTTGGCGGACGCAGGCTCGACACCTACTGGGTGCAGTTCCTCACCGTTGCGGACGCGGATGCAAGGACCATGCAGCGTGAGGGACGAGATCGTGCATTACCAGACATCGATATGGATAAGGCCATGGGCAGCTTCAAAGACGACTCCAACGAGGACGTGATCCCAGCAGGCTTGCCACCACGACCTCCACAGCCACCAGCGCCTCCTGATGTCAGTCGTGGTCGTTCACCTCCACAGAGCGAGCGAAGTCGGAGCCGGGAGCTCTCATCTATACCGGAGGATATTCGAGATCCTCCAGATCTTCCTGGACCAGACCAGGAGATGCTCATTCCAGACCAGCCCATGAACCCACGACAACGGACACCCACACTTTCGGTATCAAGAAGCAGATCTGACAAATCTGTACGCTTCGCAACGCCTGTACCGACTGCGCCACCGGCTAGCAGTGACGAGCCACGAGCTTCGAAGCGTGGCAGATCGAGTGCACCTTCCCTGGCTGGACCGTCTACGCCATCACGGCGACCTCGGATGGAGAAGGAGGGGCCCACAGGGACTGGGCGACCAGTTCTCCCTCTGCGAGAACCTCATGGGCAAGAAGTACCTCCGACGGCTACGCCAGGAGCTTCGTCAAGCAGTGGACCGAATGCTCTAGCGCCTGACGCAAGGCAAGTTCAGGTCCCTGACGATGATGACCAAGCTGAGCTCGAGACCATACCGTATGACGAAGACGGCGACCGTCTCGACGAGGTCTCGATGGACGACGACGGGGAAGTGCGCGATGAGAACCTCTACGTCGACGCTTGGTGGGCCGCGGTCAGCAGTCATTGCAGCGGGCAGATCATCGAGACGAAGGATTTCTTCAACGTGAACGAAGCACTGTCTGGAGTTCCTCAGCCGAACGCAACCGGGGGCGAGCTTCCAGCGATCGAGTTCGACGACACGCTAGTGCACTGGATGGAGTGTGGTCACTTCGTCACCCACATGGACGACTGGCGAGAGGGGCGTCTCGTGCCACGATGGGATTCCTCCAGGCGGAGCTGGTGCTTCCTCATCGAGAGGGAGATGCACAACCTCACGAAGGAGGAGGAGCGCATCCACCACAAGGACGTGCTCGCGGCCAAGCTGAAGGAGCTCAAGTCCAGGGCGGAGCTCGAAGCTTTTTGCCCCGTGCCTAGAGGAGCTGGCGATAACGTCATGACAGGACGTTGGGTGCTGCGGTGGAAGATCATCGACGGCGCGAAGACTGTCAAAGCGCGTCTGTTCATTCGAGGTTTTATGGGCCAGCAGCAGGGCGGCCTTGACACAGCCAGCTTCACCGCAAGGAGCACTTCACAGCGCCTCGTCCTTGGTGTCGGAGTGCAGTATTGTTGGGCCATCTTCAGCTGGGACATCGGCAACGCGTTCCTGAGAGGGCTCAGCTTCACAGAGATCAAGGAGCAGGGTGCGGAGGTCATGCGAGAAGCGTGCTTGGATCCACCGGCAGACGTCTTCTTCATCTTGCAAGAGTTCAAGGCATTCAAGGGTACCAGCAAGCTGACGCACCTGCTCAACCTCCTCAAGGGCGCCTACGGTCTGAAGGACGCCCCTAGGTTATGGAAGCTGCGCCTGGACCAGTATCTGACCACAGTCGGAGGGCAACAGTCCTCTCTCGATGGATGCATATGGGTGTGGTTCAAAGATGGGAATCTGCATCGGCTGCTGTCTACACACATTGATGATTTGAAAGGAGCAGGTACCCCTGAATGGCGTGCTCGGCTGTTCGGACAGCTGAAGTCCAAGTTTGGCAAGATCGCCGTGCAGGAACGAGAGTTCGAGCACTGCGGTATCCAATACAAGCAGCTAGACGACGGCAGCATCACCATCACTCAGGACCACTACATCAAGGAGCTCAAGCCGATCCCGCTCACAGCAGAACAGAAGTCGTCGCCAGATGACGTGGCGGACGACGCCCTACACGGACACTTTCTCGCGCTACAAGGCGGTCTAGGATGGACCGTCAATACCAGGCATGACATCGCGGTCTACGTGGGAGCCCTCCAACGTCACCAGAAAGGCCCCCACCATCATGGATGTGATCAATCTGAACCGCGTGCTGAAGTGGGTCAAACGCAAGCCCTGCGTGATTCGCTTTGAGAAGCTGTTGCCGCCGTTGCGTGTTCTCGTCATCAGCGACTCAGCCTTCAAACGAGAGAACGGTGAGTCCATGGCGCGCCGTGGACACATACTTGCTTTGGCTGAGAAGCAGGGCGACAACCCAGGCGGCAGAGCTCATTGGCTAGAGGCCGTGTCCAAGCGACATCGTCGAGTGACGAGATCGACCTTCGCTGCAGAGATCAACGGTCTCGCCGATGCCATCGAGCCAGGCAAAGTGATTGCAATGCAGTGCAGCGAAGTGATCAATGGCACCGCCACTGCGCGCCAGATGGCGAGTGATGCATCCCAAGGCAGCTGGCCCGTGCGTATGGAAGCGGTCATCGACGCGGACTCCGTCTTCAAGTCCGTGACAGCCGAGGACGTCAAGCTGCCGCTTGAGGAGTCACTCATCAGTATCGTGATTTCCGTGAGAGAACAATTTAGTCTTTGTCTTTTGGAGCGACTATGGTGGTGCAGTGCGGTCGACATGCTAGCGGGCGCCATGACCAAGGGCGCGTGCGCACGATAACCACTTCTGGATGCGCTCTCGTCCGGACGCTGGCAGTTGACGAGGTCTTCCAAGTCAGCACGACTACGTCTTGGGTGCACGCCCATTCGAGGATCCAGTGAGCCAGCGTGGGGTCCGAGGCACGACGAGCCGGTGACATCGGCTACAGAGAGAGGAGGAGATCGTGAGGAGCGAGCAGCTTCGAAGTACAACCAGAGTGATCAGAATCCTCTCATCGGGCTCGTCTGCGCCTCGCCCTGACCCCATGCATTTACGGTTGTTTCGGATCTAGGCTGCAGCCAGTGTTCTGCGCGCCGACAGACGGCGCAGTTCTTCCCGCCAGGAGGTGGCGGACCTCAGACATCAACGTACCTCTCTTCCCGTCCTCTGGAAAAGGTTCCACGCGAAGAGCACGGACAAGCAGAGCATCAGGCAGGCAGAGAGTGAGGTGCAAGACGGGTGCATACGTTGACTGGATAATGATACGATGAAGACGAACAAGAATAATAGAAAGACGAATATTTATAATGATACGAATCAGAACAAGACTACTAATACGAATAATAATGTAAAACGAATAAGAATACTACTGCTAACAATCATACGAATAAGAAAGAAGAAAATAATACTTCTAATCGTTTTAAGAATAATGATCATATGAAGAAGAAGAAGAATCATAAGAAGACGAATGATACTAATAACACTACGGCTAATAATACTATTGATAAGAATAATGCCCATAATAATGTTAGGAATACGAGCAGCTATAGTCATCATAACAATAATAATAAGATTAATAAAACAAACAGGAAGAATAATGATAATCCCAATGCGAAGAAACAGAATAATAATAATAAGACGAAGAGGAGGAGGAGGAGGAGGAGGAGGAGGAGGAGGAGGAGGAGGAGGAGGAGGAGGAGGAGGAGGAGGCGGAGGCGGAGGAGGAGGAGGAGGAGGAGGAGGAGGTGGAGGAGGAGGAAAGGGAGGAGGAGGAGGAGGAGGAGCAGGAGGAGGAGGAGGAGGAGGAGGAGGAGGAGGAGGAGGAGGAGGAGGGGGAGGGGGCGGAGGACACGCTAGGTGCGCTCGCGTCATATCTGACATCCTACCCCCCCCTCCCATCCTTTACCATGGCGCAGATCCCCTCTTTAATCGCACAGTCGGATGTCGAGCATTGCAATGATCCCGAAAGGATACGCGATGCATTGTAGAGCACGGCGTGGCATGGCGTAGAAGAGCACCGCAAAGCGTAGTATCAACTTAGCATTGCATTGCACGCCGTGGCATGGCACGGGAAATGGCGCCAACGCTGCAGCGGCAGCACGAGTCGAAACGAGCGGAAGCGCGGAAATGAGGCCAGCGCTGCAGCGGGAACACGATTCGGAACGAGCGGAAGCACGGAAATGAGGCCAGCGCTGCAGCGGGAGCACGATTCGGAACGAGCGGGGCCCGAAAATGAGGCCAGCGCGCCAGCGAGAGCAGCATTTTGGAAACCATGCAGGCGAAAACCCAACTCGGGGGAAACCTGCTGTGTAAACAAAAACAGTACGCGGGGGGGGGGGGAGGGGTCGGACATGCGTGTGGGTCACTTTACAACCAGAAGCGCACTTTACAACCAGATGGGTCACTTTACAACCTGCTGATAAAATCCAAGAAGGGCACTTTGCAACCAGGAAGGGCACTTTACAACCAGGCAAGTAAAACACACATATTGAATGCACGC